AATTTTAAAATTAATGAGAAAATTATATTAAATTTAGTTATTTATTTACAAAAAAAATAGTATTACTATATATTTTAGAATGATATGTGTTACTTATGACTTACATGTGTTTTATTAGATAAGTTTTTATAACTTATATCATATAACTACTTGAAATATAAATATATTAGTTGATAAATAATTTTATTTTTCTAATTAATATAAAAATAATTTTATTATTGTTATAAGGATAAATATAAATTATTTTTTTATACATACAATATGGATGTTAAATCGAAGCTCATCAAAAGAAGATTAATTTGATATATTACATATGTAAAACGAATAAAAATTACAAAAGTTATTAACTTTTAAAATATATATACAATTCAATAGTAGTTATAATAAGGAATGATATTAAAATGCAATTAATACATGTAATATGTCCATAAATAATCAACATATTTATGGTAATCCGAACCTAATTATTTTTGATTTGAAATTATACTAAAATTTACCCAAGCCTAATAACGAAGCATGTAATTTTGCCACATAGGATTATGAAGCACCAGAAGCAGCCACGTAGGCTTAGCGCGTTCTGAATTAATATATAGGGAGGATATTGTAATAAGTTTTGGTAATAAATATGAATGTTATAATTTATAGTTGTTTTTTTGTTAAATAGATAATAATTTAGTTATCGACTCCGAATAATATAAGGGCTTATGGTGTTCTTAAGGCTCGAACGAAGATATTGTACAAGATGCCCAAATATTTATTAATGGATCAAAATAAAATCATTTGTTCATGATTTGCAATTCACAATTGTAATAGAAGAAACACAATTGGTGACCCGAACGTTAGAGTTATTGATGCGAATCATGAATTCATGCATTTTGCAACTTGTAGAAAATAATTTAGCACAAAGTGATGGGGAGATGAGGATCCGGGAGATGACAAACGTTCATAATAATATAACTTCAACTTTGTTGGCATCTAGAAGTCGTTTGTAGAACTTTTTTTTTTTTTTTTT